TATTGCCAACCATCGAGCAGCATGCTTTATTTGTATCATAGTTTGGGGACCTGTCTGTTGAAAATGTGTCAGACTTAAATCGTATACATATACATGCACAGTGTAAAGTGCAGGTATAAGTTACCCGCACTCCAAAGCATGCTCGTTGATTGGCTCATTTTGTCTGGGGTTTACTTAATGTAGGGATAGTATATCATATTCAGATGCTTGTTCATTGGTAACATTTTTAGGGGGCTCATATTGTGACAACGTGTTCTTATTTTTGCCTATGATACAAAAGAAAAAGAATATCAAAACACTCGCCAATCTGAATAATACACGAGGGCTATGTCCCCGGGTACAAATCAGCCTATTTCTATTAAATATCCCGACAGATAGTGTGGTAACTGGAGTGCGGGTTACTAATACCTGCACTCTACACTGTGCATATATAAATATATATACTACATATGACTACTTTACTGACTGACTACTTCATTCAGGTGTTCAAATTATACTTTTACGTAAATTAAAGCAGCATGATATAAACACTGATCATATTGAATACTTACTACTCATGTTATGTTAATGTATACCTGAAATTAAACAAATATAATATACTACTTTGTACCCTATGACACTAGTGCTACTGCTACTGTTGTGCTTTTGCTAATGTGCTTCTGCTACTGCTGTGTTACCGCTACTGCAGTGTTACCGCTACTGCTGTTTTATTGCTTCTGTTTTGCTACTGCTACTGCTTTGCTACTGCTACTGCTGTGCTATTGCTTCTGCTACTGCTGTGCTACCGCTACTGATGTGCCACTGCTACTGCTATGTGTGCTGCTGCTGTACTACTGCTGTGCTATTGCTACTGCTACTTATTTGCTACTGATACTGCTGTGCTTCTGCCAATTTCACGTTTTATTATGTTGCTACTGCTACAGCTATGCTACTGCTGTGCTACTGCTACTGCTACCGGTGCGCCACTGCAACTGCTACTGCCAATTTAATGTTTTATAATTTTGCTACTGCTATGCTACTGCTACTGCTACTGTCTTCTTTACGTTTTATAAATTTGCTACTGGTCACTGCTATGTTAACTTTCTACCGGTTTAATGTCCCCGCATGCGTTAATTGTTTTTTTCTTTGTTTTTTTTTATCTTGTCGTCTGTTATCGTGTTACATTGTATTGTACATGAATCGTAACGTACGCTTTTTAGCGGAAATTCACGGATACGTCTGTGAACTGTTTAGTGTGTGTCTAGTCGTATTGTATCCTTTTTCCCGCTACTAAAATTGGTCTTTATTCTTATTCCATCACGAGTGTAGCTACATATATTTTAGTTATATGGAACTCGATATGTTTACAAAATTTTAATTAGAAATACAACTTATCATTAAGTTATTTTTATTATTAATTGAGCCGCTATGGTACGATTATTTTCATTTTATTCATTTACTATTTGTATCGCTTAATTTCTGTACTGTTGTATTTTATGCATTTGTATCAATTTCTATTATAATTGTGTTTAATTTTATTCTTCATGTTTTATTCCCTTCATTAACTTTGACGAACCTATTCCAAGAGAAATATGTATGTTATCAGAACTTATGTATCCCTAAATTGTCGCTGTAGCAATCAAACAATACGTTAAAAATATGTTTTCTTTTTAAATAAAACGAACCATTAATTTACTATATTTTTGTTATTTTATTATAATAAGTTCTCAAATAAGCAGCAGTGCTTGGTTTTGTCTGTTTTGTATTATCCAGTAAAGTTACTTCCATAATTATGTAGGTAAAAATATATCTTTGTATCACACATGATCATTTACAGACCACTTTTCTTTTTTTTGTCCTATGAAACCTGAATAGTAAACAAACCTCGTCAAATATCTGTATAAGTAAATTACATATTTCGAAAATCAATTGACATAATTATCCTAAAGTCATTCCTGCTCAGAAACATATACATATTCTTTCGTTCTAATCTTTTAGCACGTGTATCGGTTATCTCCCCTGTACCAACAGATGAGTGTACGTATTACAGAAAATCAGATATTTAATATTATTAATAATATAATATGTTATTTCTTTGAATTTGTAAGGTTGATAAGCCTTTGATATTTGTATTTTACATAATCATTATTAAACCGGTTCTGATTCTTGTCAGTAACAAATTTGCTAAAACGGGTTTCCGTTCTTGTGTCATTTCTTTGTTTTGGTTCGGTGCCTTCTAAATAAACTGCGGGTGTGGCTTGTTGTGTCGGGGGCAGTTTTATATGAATGTCGCCTTGTTGATCTTTGTTCTCATGCTTTTCCGTCCCTTCTTCGTTTTTGAAGGGAATATTGTTTTTAACAAAATGTAAAGAAAGAGATACATTATATCTATACATTATATCTAAGCGTTCCCCGCCAAAATCCATTCATGGTGCAATATGCAAGAAACAAGTAGATAGGGCGGCGTCTGGTGCTTAAATCATATTTGGACTGAATCTGTCGCAAACAAATATGATATGATTTTGGCAACATGGCTCTGTTGGAGAATTTTCACCAGTTCAATAGCGATCGTTTTTTTTTATTGTGAAGTCATGTATCTATGTACATGTGGAAGATGAAAAAATAAATGATAAATATTTAATCATTACCAAAATAACTTTTCCCTAAACACAGATTTAACATTTGAGGCGTAAAAAAACAGAGCAAAAGTGTTAAAATATTGCACTGCTGAGTAACGATGAAGTCTGCGTATTATAAAGCAAGGCGATTAGAACATGATCCTTGACCTGATTATCCGGTTCTATTCCCAGACGATGCAAGTCACTTACGATAGGATTGATTATTCAATCCTTAGAACTACGGTCATTCGCACTGTACCTCTGCCCTGTACAGATGTTTCAATTTCTGGTGAATGTAAAGGCATGCAGCTAGTACCGGTAAACTGCATGACAATCTGCCCAGGAATGATGCGGTGGCTGAACTATGTTCTGTTAAATTTAAATGTGGCTTACTGCCGTGATCCGGGGAAAAAACAACCATCGCACGGCCGAACCGCGCCGGACCTATTATTTGAATTGTGTTAATAGATCTACGTACTAATAAACTTTAACCTATATGGAGTCGCGCGGCCGCGCCGCACCTAACCAATTTATTAGTACGTATTTACGAAATTAAATTGGTCTTTACAAAATTAAATTCAATTTTGTAAATACGTACATAACCAATAGATCTACTTTGCAAGTGTTTGTTTATTGATATGTTGATGACGTCATTTCATGACGTCAAACTTTTAGGAAGACATAAACATGTGAAGTTTTGACGTCATAAATGCCATTAAACGATCAGAAGCGCTCTGACAATCATTGCGGTAAGCCGTTGTTTTTATTTCTCGGACGTTTACTAATCTTTTTTCCCCACTTTATTCATTTTATATGTATGTTCTGTACTGTACTGGCATGCGAGCAGTTCCCGTACAGAAGCAGTTCCCGTATTTTTCATTTAAACGCTTGATTTTTACTTGCATTCTTCAAAAATTCATTTCAAATCAAGCAGATACATAAACGAGACAAAATCTAAGTGTCAGTTCCTCAGTACGTATATAAAGTCTCATTTGAAATCACTTTCACCTGTGCGTCGTCAAAACGTGACCTTGTTTTCTCTGGGGGATTCCGTCCTTGCGCGCATGCGCAAAAATACTTACACGTGAGGCTTGTTAAAGGGTTTTCCACTAATACCACCTGTTTACAAATAAGTAGGCAATGTGATGAAAACTTGTTTAATTAGCAGAATGTTGACCAATATTACTATATATAATAATTTTATGGCTTTGATGCGTAAAATATCATGCATACAAGCATGCTATTGCCTGTAAATGCGTTGGGGAAACGGTACCGGGTAATAGATACCCGCGTTTAGTCTACGCTCTATTTCCTGAATTACATCTATTTATCTTTTAGATAATGGTCTGTTCAACAATTGTAAATGAAAAATAGGTCCGATATAATAAAATTGTATAATTATAATGGGTTAGATTTTATGTACGGGAACTACTTCTCTTCATACAAAATAATTGATAATTTCGGTACCCCATATGAGGCCTCATAACTAAGGGTTATTCTATGTTTAGAACATGATGGAATTTCCATGATTTGTGTGACGAGCTGAATATTGATGTGTAACATTCAAATTTTGGTGAGTGAGCGTAGTAAAAAATAATGTTTAAGTAACTACGATTTTTGTACGGGAACTGCTCGCATGCCAGTACAGTAAACTTTGCAAATTTAATGGCTCACTGTAAATATTTAATACATGTACCATTAAACTAATAGTAGAATCTAGTCTTACATTTGCATAATTGTTTTTTTTTTTAGATCTAAATCTATTATTTTAATTTCTTTTAGTAAGTTAGGCCAAAAAAAAATGATGTGTTTCTGGTGGCAAGGCCAAAAAAAGTAGGGTCGGTAGGTAGAAACTTTTTTTTTTTTTCCCTGTCTATCAACGATTGTAGGTACGATACGGATTATATGGACTGTAAATATGCTATTTTATGTGTTGCTTACTATCATGATTCATATATTCATATACATTGTAAATGAAATATTTATAATAAAAAATAAAATACTATAAAAACAACCAAAATGGCTTCACTTTTTATGTATTTAATAACATTAAAAATCCATTTTCAAAGAACAAAACAGAACACAATAATTATTGTACGACTAGAATGTAATGACTAGGGTTGTGATATGTGCTGTGTCACTAGAAAACGCAACAATGTTGTTATTGCAAAGGTGCTATTTCAACATTGTTGCATTTTCTTGCAATACTGCTTTACAATATCTTTAAACCTATATTTTCTAGCTCAGTTTATAAAGCTCAGTCAATATATGCAAAATTTAATTCAGTTCCCAGATTTAGTCTGAGATTTACCAAACGGTCTAGCATGAACAGGTACATACCCAGCATCAACACAAGCCTTACATACTGGTAAAACTGTTTTAAACTTCTTACTAAGATCTTGGTCAATATAACCATCTACTCCACCACAATGTTGATCTATAAAATGCAAGCTCAACTGCTGTTTCACAAGTTATGCCTAATCTTACATGTATGATTTTGTGCAAACTACTGTTTGGTAATGTAACATAAGAACCACAGGAATACTCGTGTTCAGAGATTGTAAGAGTAAGTTGCATTTTCTGCCTGTCAGTAAGTTTATTTTTACTGTAAATAACCCTAGGTTTTTTACATTCAATACATTCAACGCTATACCTTGCATTCTGTGCAGTAAACACGGAAGCCTCAACATGAGACACATGATCTGTTGTTTCATCAGCATTTGTGTTAGTTGGCATTTGAGAAGCTGCCTTAATATTTATATTACCTTTACCTTTCTCAGGCGCTTTGTAACTGGGCCTGTCATGGTCATCTGTTTCCTGGCCTTTAACTTCACTGTATGGCTTAAAGTGCTCCTTACTATCATCCAAAACTGGATCTGGAAGCCAGTCCAGAAGTTCTGCCTGAGTTACTGTTTCAGAACAACATTCAAGATTCCCACACTTTCTCACCTGAAAACAATACTGGCGCTGACGGGTGTGCTCTTCCATCCATTTCTGGTAGGATGCTACTGATTTAGTGTGGGCTTTCTGAAGCTTAGTCAAATCTAGGTCAGGGAATAACTCCCGAAGGTGTCTCTTCAGAAGGTCTATTTCATCATCTGTAACAGGATCCTGTATCTGAAACGACTCACCTTTCAACTGAAGTCTTGCAAAGCGATTCTGAACAAGTGCTTGGATTGGTTCGATATTAGAAACCCATCGTTCTCTCAACTCGGGCTTCTTATCTATCAAATCTCTGAGTTGAGAGGTACTATTAACAGACTTGAATGCATCATCATGAGCTCTTTCCATTGCACAATTCTGTAAACCCAAATTTAAAATGCTCATTACCCTTTCGGCCGGGTTTGCCCAGCTATTCCCTGGAGCACATCTAGCCAATATCATCATATCCAAGTTCAACTCACGAAACAAACAAATACTTGCACACTTGACGCTCTCCAATGTGTTTCTTTGATCTGTACCACCATCGCTGTACCTAAGCATAACTTTTGGACAATCTGGACCAGAAAGTATCTTTGCCAGCATTGAGGCATGCCTGAAAGGACTTGAGCTTTGCAATACTGTATCATTCACTGTAACATGCACCTTACCAGATACAAAAGACTTCTTGGTAGAATCAGGCACATCACAAACAAGATAAACAGACGGCGTTAAACTGGTGCTATGCATATCATGGTCACCAGCTACAAATTCAGTTGATGTTGCACTGATTGTTTTCTTCCCTCGGACACCTGTTGAAATAGGAAGGCCTGGATTTCCAATAGGCACTTTAGCTTTGTCATCTGAACAAATAAGGGATCCACACTTACCCAGTTCAATTGCTTTTGTCTTCAGGTATTTATACATTGCTGCACAAAAATGCTGATCTTGGTGGGCAGCCCTTAACTGTCTCCTCTGGATTTTATATTGTACTGGAATTTTTCCAGTAAAATTAAGAGAAGCATGCGTGTATGGATTTCTTGGGGTAAACTGCAATCTTACCAAACTCTTTGAAGGTATCAATGTCCCATCTGGACACCTACTGGCTGCCTGTAAAATGAGATCTTCCAGACTGATCCACTTACTTAAATGTACCTCCCCATGTCGCCTATCATCAACAGCTGTAACAGATTCAACTTCCTCTGCAAGTTTCTCAAAAAATGTGTCAAATTTACCTGACGGCCTTCCTGGGTTGAGCTCCCTAAGGTCTGCTAGCAAGCCTGTTTCCCCAAGTGAAATTAATTTGAGTCTTGCTTGGGTTTCTGGATGACTTACCTGTGCAGAGTCCATGGCCAACTCCTTGTAGATGAAATCTACAACACATGGTTTGATACTAGCTATGTTTTTCAACTTACTTTTGAAATACCTTTTTTGTGACCTAGTGTGGAATTCAGGCAAGTTATTTTGAATCTGTGATACAATTCGAATTGGTTCTACCAACCTATCATCATCTGACCTATTTTCATTTACTTTAGAAACAAAAACAATGGACACCTGACTACCACCCGGGGAGTACTTATACATGTCAAAAGGTACAGATAATTGCATTTCATCAAAAAACCTTGCCCTTTGCTTGTTATCATTGAATGGTGTGAGTAGATGTTCATCTTCATTAAACATTACAGGTATAAACTCTTCTTTTTCTGAAACTAGCTTATCAAATAAAGAATATTTCTCCCTAACAAATGCACATTTAGGATGATACACAACTGAAATATCTGATCCAACTGTTCTAGGAGGATGGTCGGCATCCTGTCGTTTAGTCTGACTAATATTTTTTTCTTTAAGGTAGTCTCTATACTTGCAAAGACATTGTGCTAAATTCTCAATAATAGATTTAAACTTCCTCCAGTGACTGTCACTGGAAAACACAGGACGATGAATAAGACTGTACAAAGCCTCTGAATGACTGTTCAACTGATTTTGTTCAAGTGGCTGTGACTTCAACTTCTTACGCTTCAACTGGTTGTATCCTTGAAAGCCATCAAATTCCTCTGGAACTGGCTCAACATTTTTATTCCGCAATGCAGCATCATTAATGGTTGTGTGGTGGTTAGTTAAATACCATAAAGCATTTGTGATAACCTGAAATAGGACCATTATCATGTTTAATAACCATTTATAATATATTTGAAGGTGCATGTAAATTTTTAAAAAAGTACCTGTAACTCTTGCATTTTGTCAAAATCATAAAAAGGGACATAGCTATGTCAAAATTCAAAATATTGTTTCTTCTTATGAATACATTGATAGTGTCAGAATAACATTTTTAAATTTGAAGTGAATAGCTTTCATAGTTACGGAGATATTTGACTTTAATTTAAATTTCAAAGTTAAAAAGTGGGCATAACATTCAAAATACATATATCAAGTTGGAAGTGTCAGAATATCTTGACGGTTTTTCAGAAACCAACAAAAAAAAATCAACTGACACAGACGACCAACATAGGACATTGCCTAAAAAATATTTTTTTGAAACAAGGAGAGTAAGATCAACAAGGGAGGACACAGTTCACAGAAGTCCAGGCTAAAAAGCAAAGAAATTTGGACCTTTCTTGAATAAAAAATCTAGAATTTAGATATTCAAAAAATTTAACTTGTACATATATTTATGTAGATTTATTGTTATGGAATTAATATTGATATTCATCTTGTATGTGCAAAAAAATCTTTACATAGAGTAGTTGACCAGACATGGCAATCACTCACACATAAAATACCCAGATATCAGTATGCAGCTTCTGACCAAGTAAAATAAATACCTGCACATTGTAAGCACCTTCTTCTGCTACAACACTCTTGTGTACTTTCAGATTGTTTTTGACCATCATATTGACCACATCATTGTACAGTTCATCCTTACTGTTGTTGCTAAAAAAAAAATTAAATGTTGAAATTAATACTTCAGGCTTTATAAATAAAAAATATCACTGTTTGACGCTCCCCAACAGATTCATGGCCAACTGGCCATGTATATTCAAAACATGTAAGAAGATCAGAAATGTACCTTTAATAAAATGAGCTTAAACCAAACATGGTGGTCAATTAAAATCTAAACAGTTTTATTTAATATAGATCTCATCTCAAAAGTATTTATTAAATTTTCTAACACAAGTTGAAGAAAAAGCAGTACCAGTATTAAATATTATAAAAACAGCAAACTCTTGACAATTTCTGAAAATCTACTTTATTTAAAAATAATTACACAAGAACTTAAGGAGTATTTACCAGGTTGCCTTTTTGACGAGAGGAACTTTGGCACCACTCAAAAGAATGTTGAAAGCATTAACTTTTTTCTGTACACTTATTTTTGTTTGGTCTGTAGTGATGGTGGACAGTTCTGCAAGTTCAGGAGGCTTCACACATTTCAATGTTATCGACTTCAAATTGGGATAAAATCCCTTCAAAGCCCCTACTGTAAGTTGTGGTGTAAAACTGAACTGGTTAAAACTCGTCTCATACAGGTCCATCTGGAGATAAAATAATCCTTTAGTGTCATTTTTTTTTACCAAAAGCTCTTGAAATAATTTTTACTATCATGATTTTAATAAAATCCTAACAAATTTACAGCTTTATATATGGTTGTTTGACAGAATTATTTATTCCACAAGTATATTTCAAATTTAACTAAATTGCATTTATTGTTGTTCTATAAAATGCTATATAAATATTTACGATTCTGGCTTTCCATACTTTGTGACACACAGAGGGATTTTCATGATGCATCGATATAATGGAGATAATTACTTCCCCGACTGTCTTATATTCTATAGCATAAAAGTATTTAAAATTGTTAGACTACCAAACGTAGACTTCAATCTTACATTTTGAGTTAAATTTTACCAATGGCATGACTCGACTTTCGTTTTCATTTTTTTTTTATTCTTACCGAACAACTGGCTTCAATTGTGATATTGTCCCCTTTAACATGACCATGCACGTCATAAAAAATGTCTTCAACAGTTTTGCTATGGTCAGTTAATTTTATTTCTTGTATTGAAACACTATGGTCACATTTTTTTAATAAGATCGCAAGTAGTGACACTTCGGCTGCTTTTTGTGCCGCCATATTTGCCGGTGCGCGTTAATGCGTAATTGAAACACGAATCGTCTGTGTCCGACATCGTTGTCGACTCGCAATACTAAAACCCGTCTTCGGTACGGTCGGTACGGGCGCCATTTTTTTTTTTTGTACATCGATAAAAAACTTTGGGTCGGCGCTAAAAAATAGGGTCGGTCGGGCCACCGGAAACACAACATTTTTTTTTTTAGGCCTTACACAAATGGTCCTGTGATCTACGAACAGAGAATGTTCGTCTCCCGCTCACACGTGTAATACACCATTTGTACAAACACAAATTATTGGCCTTAAATCAGTCAGTCATACTTATGTAAAGAATACATTATGGAGAAATGATTGAGGTAAAACAACTTCAAAAAGATTATTATATACAATAGTTAAGAATTATTTGTAAAAGTTTGCCACAGATTTGTTGTTTGCCGCCGAGATATTATACTTTTAATTATATGAAAATGCGTATAGTATGAAATTATTAGTACTTATATAACTTATATCCAACTGATTGGAATATATTAGCAATGCTAAAAATGAAAATAACCAGATGAAGTATATGTTATAAGCATGGTAAATTGGTGATAGTTTTAACTCCGGATCCTGGCAGTTACCACATTGAATTTACCAGAGCACAGTTCAGCCGCCGCATTGTTTCTGGGCAGATTGTCAAGCAGTTTACTAATATTGTCTTCATATTCCAAGGAACTGATACTGTCTTCAGTATATGCAAGAGCAGAAGTACTGTGCGAATGACCGTAGAAAGGATTATATGATCAAGCACAACGAAAATATCTTGTACCGTCCGGGAATCGAACCCGAGTCGCCCGGTTCACAGTCAAACGCTCTACCTATTGAGCTGACCGGACGGCGTGTCATTAGCATGTACAATACAGTAGTTATTAAGTGTGTAACATTTTAAGTCAATGGTACCAGTTGCATTTAAGATATTGCCAAATTGCTATCCTATTCTCAAAGTGCTAAAACGGAAATAAGAGGGGCACAATTTTGTTATATGCCAAGATATTGTACTTTGTTTAAAGAAATGACAATAGTACAAAACCAATAGCCAAACATAACCTTTTCAATGTGCTGAACAGGAAAATAGCTCTGGTAACATTTAAGGCACACAACTGTCATTTTGACATAAATATATGGAAAATAGGTGTAAACAGTGGAATAATAAAAGCAAATAACATTGTGTCAACACTGATTTATTGATTTATTATAGATAGTATCGATTTATTATAGATAGTATCTTAAAACAATCATTATGCAAACATACAAAATCATATGTTTTATACATAATAATAACATTATAATAACAATGATAATAAAATACAGTAAATCTTGGATATATTTTGCCCAGGAAAGAAATAATCATTTTTTACTCAAGCAACAATACAACAATAGTTCAGTAATTAATTTCCAACCAAAGTCAACCACTCAAGAGGAAAATACCTTCGCTCATCAGACAGTACACTTGTTTTTGTACAGTAAAATTGTTAACTGTTATAAACAGTACAAATAATAACCTGTTTTGTACAATACTTTCCAAGAATCCTTTTTTCTCCAGTCTCAACGAAAACTTCTGAGTTATTTCAATCATTTGGAAAACAATTGTTGTACTTTAAGGTCTGGTAGACGACATGATCCACTTCAAACCTTTTATGTATGTTAAAAGAGCAAAAGAAAAGTATTCTCGTGTAGTTATATCAAAGTCTGCCCAATGATTAATTATAAGATGCTGCCAAATGGTAAAACAAGCTATGTCAGCTAGAGGTTGTTCTTATCATTATTTAGCTTATGAAGCCATCTTGTTTTAATCTTAATTATTTTGTGTACAATCCCCAATAATTATTCCTATTATCCCCAATAATTATTCCTATTAAGTTTTATTAAAACAAAAGGTCTTCCAAAAAATTTTGGAGACATATTTACTTTAAATATGAAAAACAAATCATATTGATTTTATCATCATTTAAGGAGAATTATTACAGAAAAGTTAATATTACATATTCTTTTTCATGGTAAAACGTACGGTCTTAATATAATAAGAGGGCCACGATGGCCATGAAATTGCTCACCTGTATAAAGGCCCCTGTGCCAATGCCAATTTTATACTAGGGGCTTTTATTTGAACGAACTTGGTATACAGCCATTAGAAGATGTTTCATGATAAATATCTAAGCTCTTACTTTTTGGGGGTTTTATAAGAAGATTGTTTTAAGCTTTTACAATATACATATACGAAAAAACAATAACCCCCGGCCCCCCGGGAGGGGCTTATTTTGACCCCAGGGCTTTTATTTAAACAAACTTGGTAGACACTAACTAGAATATATTTCATGCTTAGTATCTCCACTCTTGCTCTTTTGGTTTTTAAAAGAAGATTTTTTAAGTTTTTACTCTATACAAAATAATTAAAATCAATGACCCCCTCGGGAGGGCCAATTTTTACACCAGGGCTTGTTTTTGAACAAACTTGGTAAAACCCCACTAGAAGATGTTTCATGCTTAATATCAAAGCTCTAGCTATTTTGGGTTTTTAAAAGAAGATATTTTAAGTTTTTACTATAATATACAAATAAAGGAAAATCAATGACCACTCGGGGCGAGCCAGTTTTGACCCAAGGGCATTTATTTGAAAAACCTTGGTAGACACTGATTAGGTGATGTTTTATGCCAAATATTTAGCTATTTGGGGTTTTTAAGTTTTTATTATATACAAATAAGGAAAATCAATGACCCCCCGGGCGGGGCCAATTTTGACCCCAGGGCATTTATTTGAACAAACTTGGTATACACTGACAAAATGATGATTCATGCCAAATATTTAAACACTATCTTTTGCAGTTTTCTAAAAGAAGATATTTTAAGTTTTTACTATACAAATAAGGAAAATCTATGACACCCCGGGGCGGGGCCAATTTTAACCCCAGGGCATTTATTTGAACAAACTTGGTAGACACCCACCAGAAGATCTTTTATGCTAAATATTTAAGCTCTAACTATTTGGGGTTTTTAAAAGAAGGTATTTTAAGTTTTAACTATATACAAATAAGGTAAATCAATGATTGTAACCCGGGGCAGGGCCAATTTTGACCCAGGGCATTTATTTGAACAAACTTGGTAGACACTGACTAGGTGATGTTTCATGCCACATATTTAACCTCTAGCTCTTGCGTTTTCTAAGAGAAGGTATTTTAAGTTTTTTCTTTCGGTTGTCATGGCAACACCAGAGTTCTGCTTGGAATTAAATTCTTTGAACAATTTTTATGTTGACTACCAAAGGAACATTCATGAGAAGTTTGGATGAAATTGGCTGTGTTGTTTATGAGGAGATGTCGTTTAAAGTAAAAGATTACGGACGGACACCGGACATAAAGCGATCACAAAAGCTCACCATGTCACTATGTGACAAATGAGCTAAAAATAGAATGAAAATTAAAATATATTTTATATAATGTTAAGCAGACCAAAACAACTATTTTCATATAGTCCACCCAATGACTGTTGTTACTGAATTCCATTATAATCTGCCAACTTGGTTTGAGCGCAGGATAAGGTGTAAAGCTTTGACTTAGTTTTCTTGTTGCATGGTAAAATCAATCAGCTAGGCATAATAAAGTAATAAATTATTATTATAATTTTGGTATATGTGTCAATAAGACTGTTTGAAAACATTAAAATTGAATGACCATACAGCATCATGGCACCTGAACATGCTTTTCAGTCTTTTCTTTAAAACCATGTACTTTGTCTTAATAACTTCATTGCATATCATAATTAAATGTTTCAGGGGAAACAACATAATATAAGTTACTACAATTCAAATTTCAAATGGTCATTAAAGCACCAATTCTCCTTATTATTTACATGAACTTTCATGGTAAAGTTTGTACAGTAAATAATATAGACAAATATAAATCCTAAGGTAAATCATGTGCACAAATATATGAATCTTATTCATGTTGTAAAACTTATACACAGATATAAATATTATAGATTGTCAAGTAAACAAATACAAAACTCAGAGTAAATCATGTACATACATATAAAAGTTTTATAGTAAATAGTGCTTGTTTGTTTGTTTGTTTGGGTTATAAGGCCACACCAAACTCAGTATATATATGACCAGTCTTACTGGTAGAGGACGACCTCAGGTGCCATTCTGTTAATTGTTTCAGGTACAAATAGGCACCTGAGTAGAATCACCGGCATTTCATAAGATAGCTGGTTAGCTTTCTTACATGTAAGAATACAAAGTCCCTGTCCGATAGTAAATAATGTAAAAAATACTAATCTAATAGTAAGCTATAGTCCACAAATACAAATTTTATAGAAAATCGAGCACACAAAAAAAATATTCTGTAAAGCATGTTGATCATCTTATTCAATGTAGTAAATAATATGTACACAAATACAAATCTTAAAGAAAATAAAGCAAACAAATACAAATCTTCTATAAATCATTCTTTGTACACAACACAAATCTTACAATGCAGTAAATAATATGTGCACAAATACAAATCTTAAAAAAAACAAATACAAATCTTCTATAAATCATTATGTACACAACACAAATCTTATACAATGTAGTAAATAACATGTACACAAATACAAATCTTACATTTGTTTATGTACACAAATACAAATCTTGCATTTAACTATGCCAACAGATACAAATCTTGTTATAAATCATGTAACAAAATGCAAATCTTATACAATAATTATAAGAGCTTAAATATATTGTTGAAATGACATTGTGACAGTATGTTTCTATTAAAGGAATTATTTTTCAAAAATTTATTTTTCATTCCTATTTTATACTACATTTCCATATCATATGATTTATGCATCAGACTAAATCCATTTTAATATCTTCGTTTAAGGCACCTGAAGATTTCTCCTTAGACTTTAATGGTTAAAATTAACATTCATGTTGAAGAGGTGATGTTGTTTATAGAGCAACAACAAATAAAAGTGCCAACAACAAATAAAAGTACCAATAAAAGTGCCATGTGTTTTCATGTGTCATAGTAGAATGTTTTAGCACTTGTCTATGTACACGTTTTCATTTAGTTAGGACTGTATAATACACGACAAAGGCAACATGCAATCACATGAGCATAACTTTTGTGTAGGTCTAGTAGACAGTATTATATTTCACTACAAACCATGGGTCTTGCAACAGTAA